CCACGGACGTCGAGTCGGTCACGACGCTCGTACCGGCGCCCATAAAACCACCACGGACGTCGAGTCGGACACGACGCTCGTACCGGCGCCCATAAAACCACCACGGACGTCGAGTGTCACGATGCTCGTACCGGCGCTCATAAAACCACCACGGACGTCGAGTGTCACGATGCTCGTACCGGCGCTCATAAAACCACAGAAATATAGTAGGCCAGGGGACTCAGAACTTTGCGATATACTACTCCTTGTTGAAGGAGATTCGCCGTGACTGGAAAATTAATGTTGTGACAGTTTTTTTTCATCAATCCTGATTCTTTAGAGACTGGATTTTCGATCACTTATCGCCGCTATAAGAAAGGATTGTAGATTAGAATCAATTCGATATTACTTTCAGTATTATTTTGTCGCCTAAAGAACCTGCCTAAACTAACTGCGGCCTTCATAATCAATTTACAGAGGATAATTTAACTTTCTCTTGGAATTTTCAAGGTAGGCATTCTGGTATGTATGAATATTTTCTTCAAAAAATAAGAATTGTTTTATGTTTTAAAATTTCAGTATTGTATTGACAATCTAACATTTTTGACACTTGAAAAATAGCTTAACGATATACCGTTTACAAGAATTGACCTTATATGAATAAATGCCGTAACTTTCGTGACCGACAAATGTACCTTTTCGCGTCACGCACAAGAGGGGCGGACGGAAACAAGTGTTGCGCAGACAAGAATCACTTCCACTATTTCACTAAGGTTATACAATCTTATCATTTGGCTCACGGCCGTAGTGTTTCGAACGTCTCCTCTTGGCACGCGTCGTATTTCCTGCGAGCGGGAATGTGCTTACGATTTTGAACATATACCTTTCTCTACTTATACCGTTATTCAACCTTCCTCCACATTTCCAAAAGCAATATTGCATCACCTGTGTTTACAATATCCTTTTGGTATATAGTATTTTACAAATTATTCCTCTATTTAAAATGCTTCAAGTATTGTCCTTAAATATACCTATATTGTCAATCTACTTTAGTATTTATGCTATAGTAAATTACAATATTCTGTTTACAAATTTCGGAAACACGCTATGTCAGCGAACAGTCAGCGAACCGTTCATCTTTGCTTGTACTCGTTCTTGTTCTTTTGAGTTTTGAGGTTTGAGTTACTTCGAAGATCTGCGAAGTAGATTTACTAGTGTCCACTTGTGCTTCCTCATTGAAATTATACCGTGTTCGTTCCTTTAGTTTCTTCTCTTACGGAAACTGTCCAGATGCGACTTTTGAAGAAACCTTTCTGAAATCTTTCTTAGCTATCAGTGTAATTTTTGATTCTCTTTAGTGACTTACGTTCGAACATTTTGTTATGTACGGCTGTACAAAACTTCCATTTCCTTTTTTTGCGCTCTATCCATCTCCATAATAAATACGTACTGTTGATCTTTTCGTAATTTTTATTAGTTTTTGATGAAGTTTAGTTCCATTCATGCTTCTTTGTTCTTAGTTTCAATTTCTGCATGGAATAACTTCTTTATTGGACATTTTTATAATTAGTGGAAATATTCGATAAACCCGCAATTTCTCGCCTGTAGCCCAGTTTTGGGTTCCTCACTTGTGTTTAACAGCCCATTATTTCCTACCGATTACAGCATTGTGGTTCAAGTTTGTTCATCTCTCAAAATATTAGTTTTCAACCGAGTTTATGGTTGTAAAATTGTGTAATAAATTCTTACAATTAATACGATATACACGTGGGATAACTGTGCGCGGTGTTAAATGCAGCTTCTTGTAATAGTAATTTAACACTACTGGTAAGACATTTCGGAAACAAGTTGCTGCCGAGTCGAGTAGGACGGCATTTCTATGGCGATGTATTTACAATACATTGTGCAATACTAATAAAACCGTAACATTTCCGATTTTTCCTGTAACCTTCAGAGAAATGGCGGGTTAATCGAATTAACATTTCTATCTCTACTTAGAACTATTAAATAATACGCTATTTGTCTTGTGGCCTTACCATGATTCAATCAAATTATATTCAAAAGTTATATTTTTAACCTTTCATTTGGTTTCCATATTTTCTTATCTCATATTTCGTAATCTCAAAGAACATTTTCAGTGTTCTAATATTCAACATTATTCGTAAAGGTTGAAAAATTGATTCCTGAAAAAGAGAACGAAGTTAAAACAAAGTATTTTGCCATTACTGAATACATTTTGAATTGCTTTCTCACATACATAGATTCCAGAATTTAACAGAAAAACAAATTTTAAAAACTTAAGTTTCTTCAAAATGTAAACCAATAGCGTTTCCTGGATATACCGTATTTATGTAACCTTTGGAACAACTTACAGAAGTTGAAACGCTTTTTCATTATATTTCACTTGTTAGATACTGTGCATTGAATGTGTTGCAAACAGACACTCACGCTATTGTTACAGCATTAGAGAAATTTGAATTTAATTTTAAAATTTGGTTTGAAAATTAAAATCTCCATGCCATGTTCAAAAATGTTCTTATAAATTTTAGATATTTTTTTAACTATTTCGGATTATGCTTGCTATTTACTCCAAATACACGCAGTTGAAAGTATGCGCGGTGAGCCATAATACACCATACTTTGCAGAGAATGATGTGTTCGCGAAACCAATAAGAGTATTTAGTCAGTCAATATAAAAATGAATTTCCTAGAATTTCCAATTTGTAATAAAATACGATGAATTTGTACCAAAAGCACTTTGCAATAAACACAAACAAGATCTGGTTTCCGGTAATTTAAATTTAAACAAATACTAATTTGTTATATTTTAGTTTATGGCATTCATTGTTAAACAGGAGAAATTTTCGCAAAATCTGCTCTATTCGAATACTTCTAAATGGTTGTTAAAAAACTTCAAAATACCTGTCCTCAAAATTAAGACGTCCGGAATTTCGCAATGAAATTTACATTTTAAAGCAAACAAATTGAACACAGGTATAAAAACGTAAGTTTATTTTACCAATACATCAGTTTTAAAACCAATAGAATCAGAATTCTAAAATATTAAATGGAAGCAAATGTTTTGAATAACAGTCGTTTTATTGCGAATAAAAATTAAAATTAAAAAGTCCGGAAAATGTTTAAATTCACATAATGTTGATATAAGGAAATACGTACGCAATAGTAAGTTCTAATATAAACGTACCTCACGTTCTTGCCATGTATAATTTTTACCTGAAACAGAAACAAAAATTGTTAACTGTGGCGACACATACAGAGGTACGTTATCCTTTTACACAAAAATGAAAGCTTCAAAAATTTGAAAATTTATCGTCAAACGTTTGTTACAAAAATATGACGCGTTTTCTGTAGAGTTTTGATGTGATGAATTTTCTAGAAATGGAGAAAAAAGGATACTTGTACCTCTGTATGTGGCACCCGCTCTGTCTGACACTTTTGCGTATTCAGAAATATACTTACTTTCTGACTGGGTCGTCGAGATGCAAGATCGTAGATGATGCGGTTGACGCGTTTACGCGGTTCTGTCCCTCCCTGTACCACAGTGTTGTGCCCGGAGCGCTCGATTCCACCAGGTATTACTAGAGGAGGCGAGCGCTCGCCAATTTCACTACAACTACCAAAATCGTGTGTTATTACCCTACAAGCGAAGCGGTTAGGTCGTCGGTCGTTGAAGTCTTCCAACTCGCTGGCGGTGCGTTGCGCAACAAAGATCGCAGATCGAACAGACGACAGATGCGATGCATGGACAACGACAAGCTAGCTACGATTCGCCGAAAGAAGAGTTGGCGACAGTGTTGCAAAGCGGATGGGTCAACAAACTATCTGCCAATCGCCTTAGAAGAATGGCGAAAAAAAAGCAAAGCGGACAAGCAGCCTTAACTTAATCTTATGAACTAAAATATTTTCTATTGACACTTAACATGTACTGCATCAATCGGTATTTTCGAGGTTTGGTAAAGCAAGTATCAATTTTTTTCGATGTTCGCATATGGCCAGGTGGCCCCTACAGCACATTATCAGCCTTGCTATAAAGGCGTCGGTTTATTGTTTAGTTTATTTTAGTGAATTTACATTATTATTATTATTATATTCGACGTTTTTTTAGCGAGAAGGACTGAGGGGAAACGATTTGCCCTAACTGTGTAATGTTTCCTCACCTTGTAGATAACTTCTTTCTTCCTCTTCTTTTTCGTATAAACTGAAAACAGGGAGGATCATCCGCATTTCCCGCGAAATATTAGATACTATTCTTGCTTTTGAAATAATTAAATCAAATTATAAAACTGGAGAATATTAATGTTATATAAGACTACAAAATATGCTAAATATGAAATATTAAAAATTCTTTGAAACCATTTATTCAATGAATTTTTAAACGATAACAGTTAATGCGAAAAGTAACTAACTAGATATTTGTTATTGGCAATTCAAGGTTTAATACTTTAAAACAATGTTTAATTAAAAATTACTTCACGGGATGATGCAGAGTCCCCGACACTTTTGGGCACAACACTACTTATTACTACCCCACTTACACTAAATGGGCGGAGCCAATGGTCATACGGAGGAGGGACCACCCTCTTCTATCCTTGGTGTATTGGGTGGGCAACGAGGAAGCCACGCATGCACGCCACTTTTCATATATAAACTTTTCTAATAACAATTACAACAATATTTAACCTAAGTTATTAAGAACTTTGAACATCGCTGCTCTTCTCCTACTGTAACGGCACGAGAGTTAGCTACGCGAGCAGGTCACCCCTACAGGTCACCCCTAATCAAACCATCCAATCATCGCGACCAAACAACGAACATTTTGGGGAGGTTAATTGGAGGAGACGTTAAAGAGCAGCTCCGCTCGAAGCCCTTTGTTTTATATTTACATTTCATTACTATTTCATAATTTTTCATTATTTGACTTGGCAATTACACAATTCTTGTAAATTACTGTAAACAATGCAGAAGGCATATTACTTTTATATTAAAAACTAACTTCATTACTCAAAACTTTGCTTAAGGCATACTAATCAATAATATTACATTTTCAGCGGAAGGCATGCTACTTTAAATATTCAATATTGCATAAAGGCATTCTACTTAGTTTCTCAGTCCCTAGGTGCAGCCCTGCATCCGCAGCCCCGACGCCCCCGCCCGCTTCGTGTACTCTCCCCACCTCCTCGCGTAGCCGGAGCCCGGCGCTCCACCACGAGTCGCCGGAGGAGAACGGGAGAGGAAAGGAGGGGAGGCCCCGCCCTATCACTCGCCTCGATCAAAAACCAGAAGAGCCAGGCAGCGCAGTGGCACACGTTACATGTCCGCTGTCCAGTTTGGGGTTGTATGGACTTGTGGCCCAAGGTCTTTGTTGGGCTGACCTCAATGCAGGATGTTTAGTTTGGCCTACGGAAAACAAATGTTATTAGACCGAGGTCAAAACATTTCTGACAAATACACTAAGCTTGAAGGCATTGAAATCTAAATAATCCAAGCTTACCAACTGAACTTAAATGCGTCTTCAAAGAACAGGATCATGCACGGTAATTTTTTTCAGCCCTCGGCTATTAGCAATTTTTAATTGGACACGAAAAACACGTATCGAACATTTGTAAATTTCTTTTTCTCTAACCTTAATTACCATTTGTTTACAGTCTCTCGAAAGTCAAACTAGCAATTATCGCCGATTGTCAATTTACTATAATGTGAAAAATTGCCAAATGGTTGGTGGATCCTGCAAATATACTACGTGTAGGAACAAACTATCTTCAGCATTATAAAGACTATTGAAGTAATTATGTAGTAAGTACACTATTGTAAATCACTAACCCGTTAGCAATCTGTCTTTCCAACTAATTTCCCGAAAAGACTTACAGAAAACTAATGTATTGGCGTTGTAATTTCTATTTTTATAATGTGTAATATATTTTTTAGTATATTTCTTTTCTATTCATGCTCAAATAAGTGCTAGATTTGAGACATTTTCAATCACGAGGAGAGAAAACTACATGCATCGCAACCCTGCACAACAAACGATCCTAGAAATTAGTAGAAATGCGCGTTTACTGAAAGTTTTTTGGCATAATCATAACATGGGATTAAATTTATAAGCATGTATTAAGTAATATGAAGTCTTCATTGTTCTTAGACGTGTAATGAATGCTACATAAAAAAAGGTTGAACGGGACATTTGCTTCCCTTTTACTGTACAGCGGTCCCGGTTTTGCCCAGGAGACCAACATGATAGTGACTCCTCCATCCCGCCGATAGGACAGCAGAACTGGTCTCTGTGCATCCACGTTTACAATAGTTTAAAAACGTAAAGCGCTTTAATTGTTACCGTCTTTTTCATGTTATAGAACTCCTGTTGTGCCCAAAATCCGTGCGTCCAACAAGCGTTTGTTCCGCATTTTAATTTTTGTATCCGAAGTTCCCAACATCTATTCTTTTGATGAGAATTTATCCTGAACAGGTTTAGAAGGGCATGCGCGAACAACGCTAAGCAAGTTAATATGAATACATTAAATGCCAACTGATACACTTTCCCCCTCGTATGTTTATTCAAATATCTTACGGGTTAAATATTTCGTAAAGCAGGGTAAAGTCAAGTATAAACCCTCGCGTGGCTACCTTCTACAAAAAATTCCATACAATGTAGAATTTATTACATTTCCAGAAAGAAGCACATTTGAATATTTGACAGCACCGAAATCATTTTTCATAACGCTAGCAAAATTCGCTAAAATTTGAGCATTTACACATCGCGTGTGCATAATTCACCAAACTTTAAAATCTTAAATCCAATCTTACAGAATTTCCGTTCCAACTTTGGTACAAGCTTCTATTACAGTTAATGGTACTTAACGCTATACACGCACCTGCATCATGCCAGCTCTCTGCATACAAGCTTAGGCGGTGGAGAGTTCTGTCTGGGAATGTTCCGCGAGGCGTCTATCATCAAGGTTCATTGCCGTTTAAGGATTAATCAAAGTAATCCATTATTAGAATCTTTTTCAGGCCTGAAAAATACAGAAATATTATATACTGGTTGCACGAAACAGACTAAATTAATTGCTTTAGTTCACGTTTGACTATAAACCTCCGCAAATTAGTAGAACATTTACAAGTTTTGCACAAGTATTGTGAATTTATTTTTCTATTATGGAAGAAAGTGATCTTTACAAAATACATTTTTTAAACTTTTCTAGTTAATTTTATAAATTTCTTATTCTCGCGTCAGAAGTAAACTGATGAAGTGTTGAAAAGGGCAACTTTATAGAAATCTAGTTTACACATTTTCATTCCAAAATCGTGCATCGAAACAGATTTAAATTTCCCATTATGAAGGACTTATCCTGTTATGTACATTTTTGTGCATTTTTTTGTTTCTTATCATTACATTCTTTTTTATTACATTTTAATACAAGCGTGTGAAAAGTCTGAGAAATGGTGCTCTCGTGGCTCAGTGGCGAAGTCACGCGCTTTTTACAATTTAAGAACCCCTTAGAACCTCGTGTGAAATTTGTTACGACAAAATAGTTTGCATGCTTCAAATGTACTAGTCCAACCCCTGTGAAGCATCCTAGACCTTACCCCTATCCTTTATTCCTTCCCAATTCCGGCCGATGGGTAAATTACGCAAGGCGCGTGCGAAACGCGAGCGCGATGTCTACCCATCGGCGATTCCCTGGCTTGACTGTGACTAACACGACTTCACAACCCAGCGTCCCCTGGAGAGTGCTGGGTGATAAATAACGCACGATTACTCCCAATAAAATTAAATGAGGACGACTCCACGGTGCGCTTAACGGTCTTTAAGGAGCTAGAAGTCGCGTTGCGTCTATAGATGCAACCAATTTTTTCAAAAAATTAGGAGCTGTAACAATTTCAGTAAGATGCAAGAGGTTGTTGAACTTTGCTTGCAAAATTGTTAGCAGTGGCAACATCTTCAGAGGCATACTAAAATTCTTAATTGGGAAGAGCTGGCGTTTAAGCAATTTTATTTAGTCTTTTTAATTCAAGTTAATTGGAATATTACACAATATTTATGCATTTTTGCGATTTAGCATATTTACCAACATTTGAAGGGCATTTGCATTTGAGAGGCTCTGAAAGACGTTCACAGTTTTAAGTTTCTAATGTGTGCATTTTTGTTTCGAGGATATTGTTTGAAATCACTTTTGTTCAAATTATTTCTGATTGGTCTTTTGTTCTACACATCGTTTGAAGTTTTCGATTTTAAAGATTTCATCGAATTTCTATTAGAAGTACTCCTTTTTTATTTCCAGAATGAACGCTAAATTAAGCAAAACTTCTATTGCCACGGTTTCCCTGCAACACCTAAATGAAAAAAAAAACTACGAATTTGTTAAATTTATGATACAAATTAAAGCGAATGACCGTAAGGTTTCAAATGCCAAGTACTACATTACCTAAAATATTAATACATAAAAGTTATGCTAATATGCAAGAGTATTTCTACCCGTAAAACAATCGTCAAACGCATTTAATTAAACAATGTGTTAATAAAAGACGAAGCATGCAACTCCTTTGAGAATTCAGAGTTTTCACTGCATTCGCGCGTCAAACTCACGTGAAGTCCAGCCCAGTAGATCCACTCGCCACCGCTGCGCTCGATGAAAAGGGTGGAAGTCGGTTTCCTTCCTCCCGTGCATGCTGCAAGGACGTGGCTACGCTGCTCCGCCGCCCCGACTTTTGCTTGTTCTGCGCATGACCAAAAACGTCACGAACCCCTGACCACACCACTGGCGCTTCGTTTGAAAAAACAAGGCAGATGGTGCGGGTCGACATGGCAAGCGAGGAACATCTAGAAAGTGGCATTATAAGGCTATTTTTCAATGATGACAAATCAAAAATAAAACGATAAAATTGTGGATGAAATAAAAGGCAATAAGCTATAATCTTTTGGTATGCGATATTTTAAGGCTAAGATTGGTATATCTCAAATAAATCTTAAAATTCGCTTAAGGTTCTCTGTAAGTTCTGAACGTTTTGGAC